GAAATTTTCCAGTCAGTAAAATCTATTAGGCTACAGACCCAGGCCCTGGGGAGCCCTGAAAGCCCATCTTAGGAGCCATCTGAACCTGGAGAGGGGCTGGCTACCACTATTATCCCAGGGGGACACGCCAGCGCTGTCGGAAATGGGCCTGCTACCGAGTGTTTTCCATGGCCGAGGGTCTTTCAGCCCCCACGGGAAACCCAAGACAGAGCTGCCCCCGTGGACATCAACTTGAGAAAGAGCTGCCCCTGTGGGCATGCAGAACCCATGTGTACTGGCAAAGTCTCTTCTGACGGGGGCAGCGTTGGGGCCTCGGACAAGAAGCGCACTTCCCCAGGAGCAGAGGGAAGCCTGGTGTGAGAGGACGGGCAGCCACTGGGCCTCCAGTGAGATCTTAACTGGGGGCAGGGGAACCCTGGTGGCCCGGCAGGTAAGCGGCTGGCTGCTCACTGAGGAGGGTTGGGGCTGTGCCACCCACCCCCATGCTGCAGGAGAAAGATGCAGCAGGCTGCTTCCCAGAAGATGCCCAGGCTTGGACACCCTGTGGGCGGCTCCACCCCCTCCCACAGGGTCACTGTGCAGAGGCACAGGGATGGTGTGCTTTCCCACCCTATTGCCCTGCCACTGGTAGACCCTTCGAGCCCCTGCCCCTCACTCCCTGACACTCCCCCTCATCCCCGTGTCTTATTTCTGTACGGCACAGGGCTGCCCAATCCCACGCCCGCCTGCTGAAAAAGCACACCCGTCGTTTTCAGTGATCTTTTTTGAAGCCAAAGCATCTCGTAATTAAATCCCCCAAGTTTCTGCCGGGGAATGGCTGTGAGATCACCCGGAAAGCTTAAATCAAAAGACCAAACTCGCTGCCATTGAGTCACGCTGACTCGCCGTGGCCCCCTGTGGGTGTCCGGCACAGGAGAAGGAAGCCCAGTCCAGTCCTCCTCCCTCGGGGCAGCCGGTGGTTTGAAATTGCCGACCGTGCGGAGACTGGCAACGCAATGTGTCACCACGACACCACCACGAGGGCTCCTGGCCAGCCTAATTACTGCAGGGGCACAGGGTGGCGGTGGTCTTGTGGGCACGGGTCCTCTAGAGCCGGTCAGCGGACAGCACTGCGCGGGGGGGCCCTGGTGTTGCTTTCCTAGGTGCACGGGGCTCTGAAGTAAAGTTGAGAACTTCTAAAGGCCATGATTCAGATGACGGCGATTCCCTTTGTTTGCAAACATATTTATGGCTCTCGAATAATTTTTAAATTGCTGTCAAGGGCAGGATTGACTGTTCTCTAGCCCTGGGACCAACATCCAGCACCCTCTGCTTCACCCAGAAACACCTACCAAATTCACACCCAAACCAGCCATAGTCTACGCAAACCAAGTCTACGCTCAAAACCTACTTCAGAGCCACAGTAGTCAAAACAGCCTGGCCCTGGAACAATGAGAGGCACACAGACCAACGGACAAGACAGAAAATCTAGAAAGAAACTCATCCACCTGCAGACACTGATCTTCCACCAAGGGCCAAAAAAACATGGAAGGGGAAAGGGGCACTCTTTCCAACAAACAGCGCTGGCAAAGCTGGAGCTGCGTCTGCAGACGACACAAGAGCCCTTCCTCCCCCACGGACTCAGAGACCCGAATGCAAACCCCCGGCAGTCACCGGTTCAGTGAGAAAACAGGGACGAAGGTCAGGGCGTGAGCGGAGCAGAGGCAGACGTGGACAACAGCACAGGGAAGCACACGCCGAGTGTAGGACGAAACGGAGGACGGGGACCTCCCCCAACTCAGTCACTCGTGAGCCTCTAAAGACGTCCTCCAGAGAGCAGAACCCGCAGACAGACGGGAGAGAAACCTTTAGTAACTGGGCAACAGACAAGGAGCAAATGTCCCAAATCTGCAGTACCTCAATAAGAAAACAACAATCCGATTAAAAAGTGGACAAAGGACATGCACAGAAAATGACCCAAAAGGACACCCAAATGGCTGACAAGCTCACCGTCATTCGCCGTCCAACATCAAAGCACCTTCCACTAACAATGACAGGCCGCTTAAAAAAACGAGGACCACCAAAACCCACCGGTGCTGGAGACGGTGTGGAGGGATGGCAACGCCCACCCACGGCGGGCAGGTCTGTAACGATGGACAACCATTGGGGAAAGCAGGGTGTGCTGTTAGGTAGACTAGCGTAGGGCGGGGAATGCCCATTAAGGCATGCCCAGAGGGCCAAGCTAGGGGAACAAAGGAGTGGCGCACTGCACATGCCCAGGGGCTCAGGGTTCCCTCCGGTAGGCAGGGGTGGGCGTGAACCTGAATTGGCCCACCTAGGCCAGGTGAATTCAATTCAGCCAATGGGGTCGATCAGGGGTCGTCCACCACGCCTCCTGGTGGAATCCTTGAAAAGGCAGGAGCCCGGAGTCAGGGGAGAGGGAGAGAAACTTTGGCACAGAGAGCTTTGGCAGGACTTTGGGACACTTTTGCGTGACACCGAGCAGCTTTCAACCAGGCCGCGTGTTCGGGAGGAGCCCCTCGGGTGCCGTGCAAACCTGAAACTTTTTCTAACTCTCATAAAATTCACTTGGATCCCGAACCAGGCTTCGGCGTGAATTCTTTCTCGCGCGGAACCAAGGACCGAGGTATAGATCTAGCTCCAGAGAGATCTAACAGTGCCACCTCGAGCGCTGGGAATAAAAGTGCGTGATCCTGGGTCTCACAGGTGGCTCACCAGGGATGAGTCAAGGCAACAGCAACTGGGCTCCTCCCAATGGCGCTGCCGGGTAAGCATCGGACAGGTAATGTACAGGTCAGCAGTTCAAACCCATCAACCACTCCTCAGGAGACAGAGGAGGCTAATGGTTCTTGGGCAGATTTGCAGCCCTGGAAGCCTATACATGGTCGCTGTGAGTTGGAATCGAGCTGATGGCAGTGGGTAACAGTTGATCCAAGAGTCACGAACCTAGGCACTGCACTCCCAAAGTCCTAGCCAAAACATCACATTAAATTAGAGTATCAAATTCGACTGCAGCTCATCGGGAAAGGAGGCTCTCTTGTGGCAGCACTGCCAGTCATCTGATGCTTCAGGCTGATCTGTTAGAGCCAGCAGGAAATACTACAACTTAGGAAGGAAGGAGGGAAAGGGGCTTTGTACAATAAGAGTCCTAGTGGCGCAGCATTTCAGTGCTGGGTTGCTAACCCACCAGCGTCTCTATGGAGGAAAAATGTGGTGGTTTCCATAGAGCTAAAGCTTGGGTAGCCGCCAGGGGCGGGTTTCCTGTCCCACCCGGTCCCTAGAGTCCAAATGGGCTCAGTGGCAGTGGGCTTGGTTTGGCTTTCGGTTTACGTCAATGTATCATCGTCACCACAAGCCTGGGGATACCGTGGCCCCAGCTCACCTAAACCTTTAGACCCAGGCTAGGGGATTAGTATAGGCTGGATACGAACTTAGACCTTCCCGATGTTAATGCCCTCCCCCCACCCCGCCCCCCTTCCACGATTTTACTGAAAGCTGCTTTTGCTTATTTCACAAACGCATGTCATTGGCCTCCGGGGATGCTGCAGGCAAAATGCAACACAACCTGAACTGGCAGGGTGGGGCCATGGCTCTGGCTGCCCCAGCCGCAGCCGCTTGAGAACTGCCCCACCTTCGAACTGCCCCATGCTCACACGTGCAAGCTGGCAGGTCCCTCAGACCACAGTGTGGATCCTCACGGCCATTCCTCCCACTAGGCCCGCCCCACCCCTCAGTACAATGCTAGCATCACTTTGGGGAAATCTTGGCACTGGCTCACAGTCGGGCACCTTTCACAGGTGGTGCTTGACAAGCAAAGGGTACTGACTTGACCTTCGCAGCATCACCCCTAATGGAGACCTTTTGAGAGCAGAATGCCGCTGCGGGAGTAAGAGGGACACAGGTGCTGCTCCAGGTCTGAAACAGAAAAGGACCGCAGGCCCCTGGCTAGTAGCGACAACATGACTCTTCCATCACTCTAGGTGCTTCTTCCTCCCATACTTACTATCGCCCGGCTCCCCAAGCAGCTCTCACCCACCTAGTCGGATGTTTATAGAGAGGGGCAGAAGTGGACTCAAGGCTACGTGATGACCCCTGCAAACTAGACTCAGAAGGACATGCTAAAAGAGCCCAGCTCCTGCTTGACGGGGTGAGAAGGTGAGTCCCAGGAAGTTTGTCAGCAGGAACCACCAGGGTTTCCCATAATTCCTGTCTACAGCTGCCTGCTCAATCAGTTAACTCACAGGCAGTTACCTGGCTCGCCGGAATTGACCGTTTGCTCTGGGATTTGCCATTAGATTTTGAGGGTCTATATATTAGAGAACTCGCATGTCCTGGTAGTACATGATGATGGTACGGGACGAAGATAGCTCCAGAGAACGAAAGCCAGGCCACTCTCCCCTCAGCTCCTTCTCTGGGCCCCCTTTCCCGCCCCCCCGAGTGGACTCCACCGAACAGAGATAGGACTGAATGGGGCTTTCCAACCAGGCCCTGCTGCTTAGAGATACGAAGGCTGTTGGCCCCTTAATGGGGACCCATCTTCTCTGTTGGCTCTGAACACCGACCTACAAGTACCTGGACACTGGTTTCCAGGGCACCATGATATGAAAACTCAGTGTAGGGCGGTCCTCGGAGGTCAAGCTCTGGGCAACCAACCAAAGGTTGGCAGTTCAAACCCACCACGGGGAGGTTCAGCTTCCAAAGGTCCCGGTCTGGAAATCCCCATGAAGGAGTGTTCCTCTGCACTCACGCCCTATGGGTGACCACACGTCAGAACCCACTCGATGGCACCACTCACAAGAGAGGACAAAAGGGCAGGGCCACTAGCAAAGTTAATAAACAAGGGGAGGCAAGTAAGTTAGCTGAGCACAAGACTAGGCCCCTTTCCTTCAACCACCTGGATGGAATGTGATTATGACCTACCCCCTAACTGACTCCTATTGTCCACAATGACGAGTTTAGTTTAGGAAGCTTTCCCACATAGTCACCCATGTAATTCTCACCTCTGGGCCCTGCTGGAGGGCCTCCTCCTGTCCTGCTGGCTGCTTCGCAGGGGCACGCACACCCACCTGTTTGGCCTGGTTGACACACTGCATGTACTGGGCGGCCAGAGCAGAGCAGGTGAGGGTCTGCTGGGTGTTCTGGCGGTAACACTGGAGGATTCTGGCCTGCAGGTCAGCACAGACTGGATGGTAGCCATACCGCCTGAAAACACAGACGGGGAACAGTGAGGTGCAGGGTCCAGAGAGGGGGCAAGATGGGAGCACACAGGAGACATCCATTAAGACATGAACACTACACAGGTGGAAGGAGATTTAAGAAATGATGTTCTTCAGCCTTTGAAGAAAGACCAACATCCTCATGGTTCCTACTGACAAAAATGTTCACTTCTACGAAATGAGCTCCATTGGTTGACACCCCCATGGGCTACTCTAGACCCTGAAAATGTCCCATCGGAGCCCCAGGGAAACCCTCTAAAGGAGACCATGCTCTCGAGCCCGATGGCCACACCAGAAATCCCGGATTCAAGGCTTCTTCTGATTCCCAAACCCACTTGGTCTTCCGTAGTCACCCCCATGATCTACACCTTGGTGCTGGGCAGGGGTCTCCCAGCTGGCTGGTCAGCGCTGGCCCTCTAGTCCAGTCTCGACAAGTCTTCTGGAGGGGTCCTTCGAACCCCCAAATCTTTTGACAGTATCTCCCCCCAGTGTTTCCCAAATAAAGCACAAAGGTTCCTGTCAGTCCTGCTGCTGTCCCTGGGTCAGCCTCCAAATCCCCACCCAGCAGTCGGGCCAGGTCACTGCCAGCCAGGCTTGCTTGCAACACTTCTTCTCGTTGGGTCTTTGCACCCAGAGGCCTGGACAATACAGACTCATCGTTCAAGACTGAACTCAGGTGCTACCTTCTCCATGCAACTCCCGTGAGCTCTTCCTTCACCAGTGGAAGCTACCATGCTTATTTCTGGTGAGCCTACTAATCCCCCTATTAACTTCCCTCACCATGCACACGTCACTGACCTAGAGTAGGGCCATTTCCCAGACCACGTGTGCTGCACCAGGAATTCTAAGGTGTGAGGATAGTGCCTGGCTTTCCTGGTAAGCTCAATGCCCAGAGAGAGATACACACTAACAGTTTGTTGACTGTACATAAACAAAAAGGGGGGAAAATGGCGTAACTTCCTTGGGTTAGGTGTTTGTTTGTTTTTTAACTAATTAAAACTTACAAATCTCATATTTTAGTCAGATTGCCCTGAGGATTGGGTTAGGGTGCAAACGAAACCCCAAATCTCAAATACAATGTAAGGAGACCCTTCAATAAGCAGGGCGAAGACCGTCATTTGGATGAGAGTGAGCATTAGCAGGAGGTTATAATCGCATCCAAGGGTTTACTGAGATTCTGGGCCTTAAAAAGGAATCTTTCACAAAAGCATTTTTGGCAGTGGATCACCAAATAACAGTTACAGGTGGGACAAGAGAAGTGGAAACAGGATCACCGGTTGGCTCCTGTACATCCTATCAGGTAGAAGAGTTTACAAGAATGGTCAGGGCCTCCTGACCATGACAGTCAGAGCTTGCCGCATGATGATGTATTGGATGTAACCCTAGTGTGGCAGTGCCCATCAAGGACAACCAGGCAAGGCGCCTCCAGAGCCTTCCCTCACTCGCTCAGCTGGTTTGGTGTGTGGAGGGAACCCACTGTCCAAAGCACTCTGCCTGTAGGCAAGACTGCTGACCTCCCTGGATCAAGGCCAGAAGGAATTCTATGGAGGCTTTGCCCTCCACGGGGACTCTGAAAATGGATTTTGGGATTTCACTGCTGTCCGTAGCTGCCTGTAAACCGGGTGCTCGGAATTTAAGGTCTAATACGAAAACAAACCAAATGAATTATATTTTACAAAGGAAACCAAAGATTACGGTGAAGAGGGAGGGAGACCTGGGTTACATGGAATAAACACACCCCCAGAAGATACGGACTATTATCACTTTACAAATCTAGAGAATTCACTTTTGCCTCTCCCTCACATGAATTGTTTAGTACAAAAAGCTTCCAGTCGATCCGATCATCTCTTTCTTTGAAACTGAAATTTGTTATTTCCATGGTAATCTTGGGAGTGGTATTATTTAAAAGTGATATAGGTTCTAAATTGCCCCCTTTACCCCAACCCGGGGAGAAAACAGGACAACTTCTCGTCAATCAGGAACCCCCTGGGTGATGATCTGTCTTACTACTTTTCCCCACATGCTAAGATCACATATATTTTGCTGGAGTAGAAACTGAGACGCAAATCACGTTCCTGGCCCCTGAGGGGAATGGCTTCCCCTCCAAAGAAAGGGAGGGGGGTGGGGCGCTGCGGCCCACACCTCCCAACTTCACAAACATTTCTCTCCTGTTTCATTCATCGCCAGTCCTAGGAGTTTCTATTCCTTCTAAGCTGGAATGGCTGGAAATCTGTGGGGATGTGGCTGTCCCTAACCCCCAGTGGCCAGCCTCTACAAGGATGGGTGGTTTTCCCAAGGGTACCACTTACTGGCTGGTGACCACAAGAGCCACATACTGAAGAAAATACCACAAGAGCCACACGCTGAAGAAAATACGATTACGTCTCAGAAGGCTTTGTGTTGTAGTGGTTACGTGTTGGGCTGTGGTCCAAAAGGCCAGCAGTTTGAAACCACCAGCCGCTCCTTGGGAAAAAGATGGGGCTTTCTATTCCTATGAAAAGTTACAGTCTCGGAAACTCACGGGCAGTTCTACTCCGTCCCATAGGGTCACTGTGAGTCTCAATGGCAGTGAATTTGGTTTTTGGTTTGGAAACCTAGCAAATATTGGAACGATGAGTCTGAATAGTTTGCAGGAATGCTAGGGAGCATTTTCTCCCGGGAGAAGGGAAAAGATCACATCCCTTCCCCCCCTCCTCGATCCCCAGCCCCCACCCCACCCCTGCTCTGAAGTTTTCAAAGTCTTGGAAGGCTGGAGGGAAGACGCTGACCACCATGACCCTGTTCATGGCCAGCAATGGACAGTGAGGATGGAGCTTCCCACAGGACACACCACAATGGAAAGGCCACTTATTCTTAGAAAAAGACTTCAAATGAGATCGCTTAGCTAGCATTCAGGGCTCTTCAAGAAGTGGACATCTAAGTGGGAGCTAAACATTTACCTCGTGCTGAGCTATTAGCCGGCAAGTTAAAGTCCATGAGTTATTTATGATTTGAAATATGTCGAAATAGACTTTTATCACCGCAGATCAATAGGACTCAGTCCCAGGGCACTTGCTTTCCCATGTCAGTCTGTCCTTTCTGTCCGTCATTCTGTGTGTGTGTGTGTGTGTGTGTGTGTGTGTGTGTGTGTGTGTGTAAAGTCATCTGAAATGCTTTGTGCATGTGGGGTGCACCCCCCCATATTGATGGTCACATGGCAGCACGCGGGGGCGTGGGGGGGGGGGCAGAGGGTTGGAAACCAAAAGAACTGTCCCTGCTCCAGCAGCAGGCGGGCAGGCGCAGCCTCTGTATTGATTGGCGGTGCATGCCATGCAGCCTAATGTAGGCTTTTCACGTTGGGAAAATGCGAAATGAGATTAGCAGGCCATCAGACCCAAGCCCAGGCACCTTCCATTCAGGAAGAGGGTTTCAGAGCCACTTCCGATCTTCCAATAAGCATTATGGGCAATGGATTTGTATTAATGGTGTTCGGCCCTGCCGGGGGCAAAAGGCACCATTAGGCAGGGGAACAGAGGGCCGTGCGCGGAGCTACACAGCAGCGAAGGCGGAAGCCGATGTCCCAATGGTAGGCTTCCCTTGTTTGAGGAGGAGAGTCCAACATGGGCGAAGAAAAGGCAGGTGGTCAACGTTAAAGGACAGAGGAAACATACAAGCGGACACCTTGGGACCATAACAAAGGGCTGAGAAGACCTAACACCCAAGCGGGCACTGGTGGAATGAAAGCCCAGCTGGTGGGCCTGGCAAGGGCTGGTGACCCTTTAAAACGGTTTCATTGGCACTTCATTCACACACCACACAATTCAATAGTTTAACCACATCAAGAAGAGTTGCACAATCACCACCACAATCAATTTTAGAACATTTTCTTTTCCTCATCATTAGTAGCTCCCCATTTCTCCCCAATGCCCCCACCCCACCCCCAGGAAACCATGAATCCAGTTACTGTCTCTTTAGATGTACCTATCAATTATTGATGGCCTTTTATGAGTCTTACCCGGGTGTACACCTCTCCCTCTCTGCTGTCCATGTCTGTCCTGAGACCATTCCCCCAATGGTGTCCCCCCCCCTCCCCACTTTGACAAGCACCAGCAGCCCACCCCAGCTACAACCGCCCCCACAGGATGACTATACCCCAAGGCAGAGCAGACAGCCCAATGCCACTCGTCATTTCAAAGACACCTAGGAAGGTCTCACCCAGTCTCGTCACACTGCCGGGTGCCTGCTGAAACTGGGAAATAGAAAACTGAACAGAGAGCCATATTCAAGGAGCAGCTTCTAATTCGTGCTGCTGAAAATACCATGGTGATGGACGTCAACTATTGGTACTAGCTCAGGGGCTTGCGTCCCCAGGATAGCTTCCTGTGGGCTGGGCTAATTGGTCAGAACGAAAGGAAAACAGTGGTTTGGTGCTGAGAGAGCAGTAGTCTGCAGACCCCGGAATACCTCTAATCTGGGAACCCTGGTGGCAGCTGCGAACGGGAAGGTCCCGTCCCACCATTTGCTCGGCGAGAGGAAGACAGGCTGGCTGCTTCCATTAAGATTCACAGCCTTGGAAACCCCACAGGCAGACAACCTCCGGGCCACAGTGAGTCAGAAGGGACTCGGCCTCTCTTATTATTTGTAACAAAGTGACCCAAGAACGTAGTCGACTGGACAAAAGTGTCTGAGATGTTTTATCTCCTGTTGCATGATTTCCCGTTTTCATCTTGCCTTCGATGACGACATCTGAAAGGGGGTGCCCGGAACGAACTGCAGACAGACTCTAGGAAAGCAAGCAATGGACAAGAGCCCCGCCCCGGCTTCTCTGCGCGGTGCACACCAGCCAGCCAGCTTCATTAATGACGCTGCTATGTGCGCTGTAATCAGATTTCCACAATCAGACTTGGGAGACCGAGCACTGACAACAGGGCGAGATGGTTGCTGCCGGCTTTTTTGTGGGTTTGTTTCAAACTGCTCTGACACCGACTTTGCTGTGTATTAAAAACA